AAGGCGTCTATATACCCTCTGCAGTAACCAGAGCACACAGCCTACTGCTACTCTAGCATGGAGGTCTTTTAGTATCTGAGCTGCAATGAAATCCTTTGTGCAGCAAGGAGGCAGAGGCAGAGCAGGTAGTTCTCATGGCACTCTTGCCAGCCTTGGCTCCCTAGAATTGTAGTTCAAATCTTTCTCTGAGCAGTACTGATAAATTATTTCCCCCCTTTCCCTGGAAAGAAACATTAGAGTAAATAATTTCCTTTGTTCTATGAGCTTTAGACCACTCATAAAGAGGGGGTCAGAGGGTGAAATGAGATAATCAAACAGAACCTTTAATGCCATTTCTGGCATGGCATAAAGAGTAAAGAGAGGCTGTCACCATATTTGTCATGTGTATGTCAGCACCAATATCATCCTTATTTCTCAAGGATTTCATATCTCTGGACAGCATTTGCTGCCTGCCACAAATTGAAGGAAGATCCCAGATTGGTATCTTAAATCTTCCACTTTGGATAGGTCCAGTCCTACATTGTTCATTCTTTTCCTCATTTTCTCATGATTTTAGATGCCCAACACTTTGACTGTTTTCTCCATCCTGGACTTTGGGCCATGTGTTAACAGGGAGGTATGGCTACAAAGAAGCACTAAATAGGGCTCTGTCTTCATTTCTTGCCCAGGGGTTTACCTAGGAGGCTACATATTCTGTGTGTGTGTGAGAGAGAGAGAGAGAGAGAGAGAGAGAGAGAGAGAGAGAGAGAGAGAGAAGAGAGAGAGAGGAGAGAGAGAGAGAGAGAGAGAGAGAGAGAGAGAGAGAGAGAGAGAGATCTTGAACTTCTTTATCATTTTTGTTTGGAAAGACTGCAGGAACACAAAGGAATGAGAGACCTAGCTTTTATTACGTCATTCTTCTTTTGGCCATGTGACAGAGACCAAATTCTACTAACTTAATCATTTTGCAGGTAGGGAATTTTGATTGAGGAACCTGAGTGAAAGTCTCATGGCTGTTCTGTAGTTAGCTGGTATTTAAATCTAGCATTCTCATGTGAGTATTCGACCCTGGTGCTTAGACCCTTTGCCATCCTGCCCCTTCATTCATAATTACTTTCATGATGTTCTACAGACATAGTTGAGTTCTAATTTACATGTCTAGGAAAATAAACTGTGAAGCTTTTTTTTTTTTTTTTTTTTTTTCCTGACTAGGGAAATTGTAGTTAATTGAAATGTAAACCTCCATGCTTCAGTGACCTCTCCTTGAGGAGTTGGGTTTAGTAAGAGGAGTTAACTTAATCATCCTGTCTGCCACATTGTCTATTCTATCTGTGGTGGAGTCTAGAGATCCAAACTGCACTTGTGCAGCTGAGCTCACTGCAATATGTTTTATCTCTTCTAAACGTTTGCAGTCAGAGGGGCGCGGAGAGTGATTTTGTTGGGGCTTTGTTAGTGCTGCTTTCATCCCAAGTATGTTTTTCCAATCTTGTGTGGCTAGTGGAGAGTGCATGTGGGCATTAACAGCGTGTTTATTTCTCGTAGCTTTAAATTGGGCAGACTAGCACAGACTCTTCTTTTGTTCATTGGTGGAAACATCCTCTTATTGTTAAAGTTTCCCTGTTCTAAGGAAAGTGCACGCCGGTGAGAAATGTGCTTTACTTCTGAGCCATGTACTCTGGAGTTCACCTTACCCTGCTGTCCTAAAAGCCAGGGTGGGGTGGGGGTGGGTAGGGGCTGTAGGAAGTTGTAAATTTCTTTTTCCTTTATCTGATTTCTCTATAACCCTTGACTTTGCTGATAATTCTCTCCTCTTTTGTCTTCCAGAAATGTCTGTGGTCTCCTTCCTCTCTGGCATCTTCCCAATCCCCTCTTTTCAAAGTTCCTTTCCCAGAGTGTTGGCGTGTCCCTCCCTTGCTATCTAATCCTCCTAAGTGTCTCTGCCTCATGGCACCTTTCAAATAACCCTCCAAATACTTAAGTTTTTTGATTTTTACATTTCTAGCATGTGCTTGTTTCCTGAGCTCCTGACTAGCATCTCAGGAACCCGTTAAGCTTACTATGTCTAGAGCCAACCCAACAGTTTTCCTTCTAAATGTCTACCTTCATTTTAATCTCCCTACCTCTAGTTCTCTTTCCTCCTTCTCCATCCATCTCCTTTCCTCTCTTCTCTCTCAGAAGAAAATAAAGCATCATTGGTGTTACTCAAGCCACAGCCCCAGACTAAGGAATTGGGAGCCCTTTGCTTTCTTTATTACTGTTCAGTTACCTCAGCTTGCTCTGTCTGTATTCTAATTTGACCATCAAGGCATCTCTCTGAGGCTTCTAGATCAGGTAGCAATTCTTGGCTTTACAGTTGGAGACTTTTGGAGGAGTTGATTTTTTTCATTGTGGATTTATTTTATTCTTATCTGTTTGGTATTCTAGTTACAAGTTCTATGAAGCTGTGGTTTATAGTTTTTGTTTCTAATTTTGTGGGTCGACTTTTCCCTTTCTTGGTGATATCGCTTGAAATACAAAAAACAAACAAAAAGTTGTGTTTTCTCTTGTAGCTGCAGGTCTGTTACTATTTACATATGTAAAGCATAGCTGAACTTCGCTCCACTGAGGGGATTCATAGCTCCAAGTAGGTAGAGCTGCCAGTAGAGCCTTCAGGAGTCTGGTCCATCCCTCCTTCCAGTAATACTCCACCTCTCTTCTTTGGAGCTGTGATGCCCATAATATGACAGCAGTCCTTGAGCCTACAGAAGTGGCTGAAGCTGGCGCTTTGTCAGCATCCATTTTGTTAAAGGCTGCTATTTCCTCAAAGTAAAAAGAGACTGAATCTGATCTTTCACCTCATTTCTCTAGTGGGTCTTTTCTAACAGAGCCCTGCTTCTGCCCATTCATCTGCTCTGGTACCTGGCAGATAAGATGCACAGCTGTGGAGGGCAGTGGTCTTGGAGATTATCCCTCTACTTAGTGTAGCTGGTTCCCTTCCCATGCTTCTGCACCCTTGCTAGTTCATAGTTCTGAACCCAGAACTGGAGTGCTGGACCGGTGTCTTTCAGACTACTGGATGTCATTGGTTAATATGTTTTCAAACGCCATTAAGTTTAACATGGCTATTAAATTTCTTTTTGTCAGAAAGGACATTGGGTGATATAACCCCTATCATAACAGAAACAATAACAGAAATATAACAACCCTGGGTTCATTATTAAGAGAATGGAAAGAAAAACTGTTATTTAAAGTCAATATATTGCTTTAATGTTTCTTATTATGCTATCTCTGAAAAATACATATTGTTTACAGACTCATACTGGAGCCGTAGTCTAATATACTTACCAGCAATTTAAAGTAGAAATTGGCCCACTTCAGTTGGCCTATTATTTTCTGTGTATGATCTCAGTTACAAGCTTTATATCAATTATTTCTTAACACTGAAGTAACTGTTTTGGCCCTTGTGCTTAGTTAGCTAAGTCTTCTTTCTGCTGGTATTTGTATGACTTTCCAAAACAGAAAAATGTGGCATATGTGGATAAAAATCTGAGCTGATGTTGAGAAGATAAAGTTATCTTTCAAAAGGTAACATGGCTCCTTTTTACCTACTCAATGTGTAATTTCTAGATTATGCAAGTCTACTGCAGGCTGGGAGCACTACATAAATTCTATTGATTCTCTCATTGAAATTGCAATGTCAAATAGATATTAGAGTTTTATCATAGTATAGTTATGGGCTGTCACATTGGCTCATTAATTACAACAATTGTGCAATAAAAAAGACACAGGAATAGATAATGCGCTGTGCGTTTTTGTGAGATTATAGTTGTGGCCCCTTCTTATGTCAGTGAAGTCTTGTTAATTGATACTGCCATAATGCACCGTGTCTTTGCTGTTCTCCTTTGAGGTTGGCTTATCAGTCTGTTCAGGATCTTGGAACTGAGAAACATACAATGAGGCTCACATTTCAGGGTTTTTAAATACTCTTTCCTGACATTCAGTTTATTCAGCAAGTATTTGTTAAATGTGTTCTAAGTGCTCTTGAGTATAGAAATAGGTAATGTAGAATCTACTGTGAAAAAGTAATAATATGGAGAGGGGAGGCAGAGCACCTGTGTAAAGGTAAATGTGACCCATACATGTTAGGCTACATATGTAAGCCACATGTGGTAAGTTCCTTAAAACTAGGTTGAACTACTCTTCAAGTTGAGAGGAGGAAGTAATTCTAAGCCTAAGTGATCAGTGAAGGTATAAAGCCTAATGGTAGAGGAATGCCTTTGTATCATGATAGAAAGCTCTGGGCTTTCTTAAACACACATCTGTATTCTAGAATGGCAGTGACAAATACGTAGCTAAATGCACTGGCTTGGAAATCAACTTTTGTTCTCAGACCAGCTGCCTTGCAACCTTATTTTGTGTCCTTGAGTGTATAGTATTGATGTAATAATATGTGTCCAGCATATCGCACTATGGTAAATGAGATAATGTGGATGCATAAGCTGCTCCCTACAGTGAAAGTCAGATTGCTTAGCAGGTGTCTAATTTTTTTTTCCCAGATACCTTAAGCCATGCATTTGAATGATAGCAAGCACAGTTTCCCATGACTAACAGGATTAGTGTCCTTACCAAAGCACTCTGGTTATTGCCAGGGAATAGTATATTTTGTGTGGCGTCTGAACTGCCTTCTAAAAAATTTGCCAGAATACATTGGAGATTACCTATATGAATACAGAGTAGTTGTGATTCTGTAATCTCAAATATGCTAAAAAGGAACTGTGTTTGTTAGGCTGCCAGTGTAGGGACTTTATAATGGATTTATAAATTCTTAAGTCATCTTCATTTAGTGACAGTGATATGGGACTAGATAGATTTGGAAGATTACTTAGATTGTGTAGCTGTTGGAAATCACATCTGTTGGAATATGCTGTGTACACAGTGATGTGCTTTTCACTGAAGTTGGTATTTTTTTTTCTTGCAGGCCAGTGTAAACCATTTGTGTGTGACTGCATGCCTTTCTGTAAATGTTGTTTGTTTTTCCACAGGTTACTTCTAGAACTGCTGGAGCTGTTGTTTGACAAGTTTAATGCTGTAGCCACCGCACACTCTGTGGTGCTGGGGTACCTGCAGGATTCTGTTGGGACCCAACCGACTCAGCAGGAAGACATTAAATTATACGATATGGCAGATGTGTGGGTGAAGATCCAAGATGTGCTGCAGGTGAGGGCTTTGTGCAAAGGCTGCCATCTGATTGGGGACAACAGTGAAGAGTAATAGCAAACACTGTCCTAAATTATTACCTTAGGAAGCACAAATTGGATGAGCAAGCGTTCAGTGAAAGGGGATGCTATCTTTAAAAATATTTCTAATAAACTTTTATTATTGTTATTATTTTTTGTATTAGTATTTGGTCAAACTTTAAAAAAAAAAAAGAGCTGATTCTCAGTGTGTAGCAATCAAAGGTAAGTACTACCAGATTTCTTTACCTGATTGAAATTAGTCATATGTTTAGCTGTCTATTAACCTGGGGGGGTTAATAGAGGAAGATCATGGGTTTGAGGCCATTCTGGGGTTTATAGAGAGTTCATTGCTGGCCATGACTATGGATTGAGATCCTATTTCAAAAGAAAGAGAACAAGGGGTGGGGGAGGAGAGAGAGAGAATACACATTCAACGTTTTAAAGCTTGTTTATGAACACAGCTGAGCTTAATTTTACTGACTGTTTTCTTACCGTCACTTTTTCCATGCATTGGGTGAAATGACAGGACAGGAACTTATTCTGAGAGATGAAAATAAATCTGTGGGATGGAAATGTATCACTTTTTTCATTTGTTGAAGATGGAAGGAATTTCATTACTGTTTGATATGATACTGCTGACATGGCATTTAGAAAGTGCATTATGTTTTTCTCTTTGCCAGCAAGATATATTTGATTTGTCCAGATGAAAATTAGAAGTGAAATTAAGAGTTAGCTGAAACAAGTTTGACATAGCTAAGTAGAAATGGTAATATCTACTTAATATTAAAAGAGGTAAGTACATGTAGAGAATTGAAAAATGTAACTGTTGGAATGAAATCACTTGCACAGAAAATAGGAATGTTTGCAATGATAAATAAATCATGAATGCAAATTGTAGTCATTTTTGAGAATATATGCACGCTTCTGGTAGATTGAATAAGATTGATTCTTAGTAACTCATTTTCTAGACTTATTTTTGGGAGTGAGGTACAATGAATTTGCTCTACTTTTTCTGGATTCCTTTTACTGATATGTCAATTACTGTGTACCTATAGTAAGTACTTGAGAAATGTGTATATTGGATTAAATATCTTTGTGGTTTGGGGCTGGTTATTTAACACTTTCAATCCTGGTTTTGCTTATCTGCCACATAGAAATGAAATGTGGTTTACAAAATAACATGATAAAGCAATTTCAAATATTGTTGGCCTTATAGTTATGGCCATATTGAAATTGTCTTTTATAGTAAACAGCTGTAACCCTGAATGGACTCAGGTAATACAGTTAGTTAGCAGAGAACAGATGAGTTAGTTCCACCTTCTTCTTTCCTTAGGAACATAGCCCTTGTAGTCCCCCCCTGAATAGAGCTGACAGGTTTAAATTCTTTTCTAAAGTAAGATAAGAGAATCCAGATTCTCAACAATGATATATACTCAAAAGGTCTGACATGCACTAATAATACTTGTGTAAAAGTCTGAGAGCATGACTTACAAGCAGGACAAAAATGGACAGAAATTAGTACCTGAAATGAAAACATCACCAGACAGAGGAAGTTTGAATTGTATAATATAGAGAAGATCAGTGAACTTCATCATAGATTAATGTAATTCATCCAAACCAAAGCACAGAGTAACAATAAACCAAAACCAAAAATGGTTAAAGCCACTAGTCTCCCTGGCGTAGTTTCTCCCAGTCTAAGAAATATGTGGTGCAGTGGTAGAGGGCGAAGAGACAAATTAGGGCAGAAGAAAAATTGTTGAAAAGTATAGACCCATAGATGAAGAAGTCCATCTAATTCCAAGCAAGAATAATGCAAAGAAAATCAACACTAGATATGTTATCAGTTTCCTGAAAAACAAAGGACAAAAATCATAAAACAGCCTGAGAGAAAAGGACATATCACCCATAGGGGGACAAGTGATAAATATCATTACTGACTTGCCTCAGAGTCAGCATAAACCAGAAACCAATGAATGTCATTTTGAAATGCTAGGAAAAAAAAACCACTGTCAATCTAGAATATTGTGTCGACTGCATGTGAAGATAAAACAGATGTTTTCAAATGAATTAAAACTGAAATAATTGAGACCTACACTTAAGAAATGTAGAGAGTTTTTAAGCTGAAGGAAAGTGATACCAAATGCTTAACTACAAGAAAAAAATAGGTGGTCAGTGGTGAAGTACCATTTTCCTCATTTGTTGATTTGTTTATTTTTTGATGGAGTTTCATTTATGTCTAAAGCAAAACTAATAACCGTATGTCATTATTTTATAAAATATGGGAGTAATTATATAACAGTAATTTCAGAAAGATTATATTTCTGGTAAACAAATCTGTGTTTGTCATAAGTTTCTTATATTTTTTCTTGTGAGCCTATCCTTTAACATCTGAGCCGTCTCTCTAGCCTTTGGCGTAAGTTTCTTATGGCATATGTGAAGATGTATAATATTTAGGATAAATTATGATAAGTTCAGAATTCATAATTTAATCCCTAGGGCACTAAAACAGTAGAATGAATATACAGATAAAAAACTTGCCAGAGGAGATAAAATTGATCACTGAATAATTGATTATTTAAGTGAAATCAGGAAAGGGAGAAAAAAGAACAAAGGAGAAAGAAAAGATAAAGAACAAAGCCAAGATGATATGGCTTAGACACAAATAGAAAGGAAGATGCTAACTATATAATTATATTAAATATAAATTACTAAACTTCCCAATTAAATAACAGAGATCATACTGGATTAAAGACAAACAAAAACAAGTCTCAGACATTCAAATCTCAATAGATGTATCTTATTTTTATTATGTTTTAAACTTTTAAATATGTTTTAAGTTTTAGGAAAGAATAATAATACTAAAAGATTATCCACATACCTCTTTGTTGAAATTTGCCTTTTGTTAAGCTTTTATTATTTTACTAGTTGTTCTCATGTATAACACACACACATACACGCACTTCTTTGAAAAACATCAATTTATGTAATCTGTATATATTCTAGTTTTATCATGTGAGCCAATAACGTAGCTGTTTAATTTTATTTAGATCAGTTGTTCAGAATAAGACATTTAAATATGACATTTCCATACACAATTACAAGTTTTCTATTCCTGAAGTAGATGATGGGTTCTGTCTTTTCATAGTTCCCAACAATAGTAAAATGATTCTAATTCTGCAGGCCTGGAGAGATGGCTCAGCTGTTAAAGGCAAAGCTCACAACCAAAAAACAAACAGCAACAACAACAACAACAAAATGGTCATAACAAATGAAGTAACTTCAATTCCATTAGACATTAATATATGGAATATATAAATTACTATGATATGAATTCATGGCTTATTAAGTGAGTTAATCCTCCCATATCTTAAAAGGGATGATTTGGAGAATTCTATGATAGTGAGATATTTTAGCAGATTTAATGGAATATAATTGTATGCTGTTATGTTCACTTATTTAAAAATACAGGTTTTATTGCTTCTCAGCCTGTTGGCTAAGGTCAAGTTATGGAAAACCCTTAGCATCTTCTAGGTGATTTGTGAATTATCTAGTTTAATGGTTTATGAATGCCCATCAGATTCACTTAGGATTGACTTACCTTCACCTATACTCTTTGAGTGAGAATCACTGTGGATGATATTGATTCTGTGCCTTTTAGCTGCTGAGTTTATATATTCATTTAATCTGTTTGTGTGATCATTAATTCAGTATATTGACTACCAAAATGCTTTCGAACCAGTAGCACCAGCAATACTCAGAAGTATGTTTTTATGCTTTTGAGTTCCTGAACTAGAGACTTTGAGAAAAGGGTGGGATCTTTGCTTAGGCACTATTGAATCTTTGGGGGTTTTGATTGAATTATAACAAGGTGAAGGAAGGTTAGCCAGGTAGCAGTGAAAAGCGCTGAAATGATTACTGGGAGGCTGTACATAAGGCAGAAAAACTATTTTGGAGGACAGTGACTTATATTACTTAAGATATATTGTATAATACTATATTTGGAGGCCTGTGGCTTATATTGGTTAAGATAAGGCCTAATAGTGAAATAAATATAAGCTTTGATGGTAGACAATGCTAAAAGAATACAAAGATGAAAGAAAGAATATGTAAGCTTTTTGATCCTGACATGGTTGACCTGTCAGTTTCAGTTTCATTGGGTTATTTATTTTAATGGTAGATTAATGGTTAATTGTTGGGACTAACTATCTAATAAATACTAGGATGTAAAGATGATCACATGGTAGTGTATGGAGTCTGGTAAAGTTAGAGACAGCCTCCAATAGTGTACATTGTACAGTATGAATGACCATTTACAAGCATAAGAGAGCCCTGGTTGGGAAATGCCTGGCTGCATGGCAGATTTAGGACAAAGAAGAGTTTTCATGTAGAGTTTTATTCTTGGAAGAGTGATCTTTAGGTTAAAAATTACTGTTGAAGCTGAAATAATTGAAACTAGCAGACATCTGCATTTAAGCATGAATGACAGTAAGATGACATGATGAATTGAGTTATAAGTGTTTAAAGTTCAATTTTCAGTGTTTCTTTGGATGGAAAATACTTCTTGCTAAAATTTTTTTTAAAAATATATATTTAAAAACACTAATTGGAGAAGGTAGTTCTTGGCTTTTGAAGGCATCCATAGTGGCTTTCTGCTGGAACTCAGGTTCCCCTGCATTGTCTCAGCACATGTGTGTCTGGAGACACACACTGAGCAGACAAGGCCATAGCTATCCCAGTGACAAGGTGTGAGCACCGTGACCACACACTGTTGCACTCCTTTGTGGCTTTGCACTCTTTTGAAACTGTGATAATAGAAATACATGTTTTTGTTCTTCTGAGCGGCAGCAGAACCTTCTAAAATGCCACCCACTTGGTGACATGCCTGTCATACCCATGGCTGCACATTGTCAAGTGTGTACGACTGGGGTTCACTAAAAACACAAAAGTATTCAGTTCTTACAAATTTTGTGTAACACAGGA